ATAAGGTTTCTCATTTGGAATTGATTTACGATAACACATTTAAGAAGGTCCTTGCACCTGCCCACACATCGTCTACCCCAAAATAGACTTTATGTTCACCAATAAACGAGCCGATAAATCGCCCCTCAATAGTTTGTTTTGTTTTACAAACCGTATTTTCAAAAACTTTTCGAAATTAATTTTAGAAAAATTATTTTTAGACTCACTTTAAATTGTTAATTTTCAGTGGACGTTATGTTGCAACTTAAATCTTAACTGCATTTAACAGTTCCAAAAGAAGTCACAAAGGTCGTTGTCCACATCCGGTTATTTTGTAATCTGCTCTGTAGATAGTTACATACTTCATAGTCGGGCGATACGATGTCTTCACTTCAATAAACTAAAGAGTCTAAAGACTACTTTACGATTGAAAGGTTTTTTTTCAAAGGGGGCATTAAGAACATTTTCGTTGTGCAACCGCAACTATTTATTTATTTACTAATGGAATAGTTAAAAATACACAAAAACGAAATTAAACACTATAATCCTTTCACGATTTTGAGAATCATAAATTAACGATGCAAAGTGACGGGTTTAATCCAAATGACGAATCGTTATATACATTTTCTCCCCTTAGAACGTGATAAATGCATGCCGCATTTTGTATGAATAGTACCCCATTTTAGATGGAAGATATTACACGGCTCGGCTAAGCCAAACTCCAACCCTAAACACAAAGAGGTCGTTTCGTTTCGAAAAATATTATATGTGAAGGGCCACGTTGGCATATAAAGGATTCAATTTAACACGCTAACATTTACGTTTAGTATGCGAGTAAAGATATGAACGGTTGAATAGATTTTTCCATTAGTCACAACAGTCCATTTCATGATGCCCCAAGAGATTATTTTTATTGTTCATCGGTACACTTTTGTAAATCATGAAATTTAAAAAAAAGTTGGTAAGTGACTCAATGCAAATATATATATATATATATATAATATAATGCTATAATGCTTTTATAATATGAAACTGCCAATTTTAAATGTATGGGGCACTAACAACCCCAATTCGTTATTTTAATATAGTGGTGTTAACGCTTCTCTTCTGAAAGGTTTCCATAATATTTCTACTTCTCCATCTATTCGGTACTTTACCTAATTTATTGTGGCTAGTCATATAACCTGAGGAGTTCCTTTACATTTTGATCTTTTACTTGATTACTTATTTGTGTTCTACTCTAAATTGTATAGTATGCAAGTTAACTAAATATTACAGATACACTATGACAAAGAAAATAAAATTTTAGAGGGATTCGAAAGGAAGATACAATGTCTTCAAAACTATTCACGGCCGTTCTAGAACATGCAGTCAAAACTTTAGATTGGAAAAATAAGGATATTATGGTCGATGGGGAAAGATTGAGTCAGTTAATATCAGAAAACTTGCAAGAAGTTCGAAAAACGAGACATATTTAAGACGGATATCCTCATTAGCATGAAATGGAAATCTTTCAAGCAATGTGGGCTACCAGTCTTAATATACGGGGTTGAAACACTATCACTTACGAAGACATTTGTAAGAAAACTACAAGTGACACTATGCAAAATGGAGAGGTCCATGTTGTGGTTGTCCCTGAGAGACCGAATACGAAATGAAGAAGTGAGAAGAAAAACGATCGTAGAGCAGTTGAGAAACAGGCTGATGATGATGATGATGACTCTAATTGTTGGTACAGTGGTTAAGAAGCACGTATAATATGTTACGCTGACAAAGATTCTCCAACTCAATGAACCTGACGGATTGGAAAAGAAGTATATTTCCATGTAGCAAATTATTTTAATAACATTTGGTTTGAATGTAATACAATAATCTTCCAACGTTTTAATCCATCCCAACCCAATAATTTCTACTTGTGTTCATAACTTAAAAACAATACGTCAACCAACTACTTAACTCCGGAGAATATTACAGCATTGCTCACGGAGTTTCCGGTAGGCGGTAAGAAGATTTCTGCACGACACTTCATACTACAACGAGAATAGCTTCGTTCTGGATACACAACAGTCGAACGACTACTCCAAAGCCTTCGACAAAATCGAACATACTATTCTTGTACAGAAACATTTCCCAGAGACCCTTACTATTTGTAATATACATAAACGATACTTCTTATTGTTTTAAATTTTCTAAGTTTTTAATCTATGCCGACGATAATAAAATATTCACAAGGAACGGGTGTAATCTGGACTGTCTTAGACTATAGAATGATCTTGACCACCTGCATGACTACTGTCGCCTCAATAAACGTTACCTCAATTATGTCAAATGCCAAAAAATTACATTTACTTGGAAACGTTATCCTCTCAACATTCCTTACAACTTTATCCGATCCACGGATAAAATAAAAGATCTTGGCGTTATATTGGATTCCAAATTGCGATTTTATCATCATATTGATTTGAGAGTAAAGAAACCTCTACGTAACTTGGAGTTTGCTATCAGAATCAGTAAGAATTTCACGAATTGTTTGTATATAAAAACCCTTTACTTAGCATTTGTCAACAGTGTGCTATGTTATGGTTCTGCAGTATGGAACCCCATGCATGCGGTGTCGTGATGCTATTGAAGCTATAAAATTCATCTTCCTTACTGCGATTACGATAGGCGTTGCGTAGTCTTCAACTTATTGCCTCTGCAGCAACGTAATGGCATGCTGGATACCCCCGATCTTCTGCCTGAATAGAGCTTCAAGGTACCACAACGGCTTACACGTTACAACCTCACATTTCATCTTAACATATCTAACACCAACTTTTATTAAAACTCGCCATTAGTTCGAATTCTTAATTTCTATATCCAGAGCTTCAGTCATGTATCTCTCTTTGACGTTTCTTTACGCTTTTTTAGAGAATGTATACTAACTAACGTATAGCAGATGTTTATGTCACAATTTTTATATTAATTTCCGTTATTATGAGGATGTTTTGTTGGAGATATTCTCCTTGTATATATCCCGAATATGTAATAAATAAATAAATGAACAACCCAAAAAGCTGGCTTGTGAGGGAGTAAAGTTACTAAACATGTATGGCTAGTCAATACGGCATGTATTATAACCCCAACAGAAGAGTCCCTGGCCCTCCAAGTTGGGGATTAGGCATAGGGCCATCCTCCCTATAGAAGAGGCAACTGTGCAGCTGTTCTATAAAGAACTCCAAGCTGTTTATGACGCCAAAAAGGAGTAAAATGTATTAGCAGAAAAGTAAAGTCCCCTAATGATTGTATTTGTGAAGATTAAGAGATTATCGATGGATCAGTCAAATCCCCAGAAATCTAACGCTCTTTTGGGAGCTGAACATACTCATTCTATTAAATATGTTCCACAATTTACGGGTACTTTTTCAAATCAGTAAGTGTATTCGAAAGTATCTAACATCCTTATCAAGCACAGTGCACTCACTTGCTCGTTAGTCATTTTAGACCTGAGAAATGTCTTCCCTTTCCTCAATGTGCTAAAAAATTAATACAAGCAATTATTGCCTTAGCTGCTGGAGTTTCCTTCATAGCGCTATGAAGTGTTTTATGTGCAGTAACCCCATACTGTAATGTAAGTGTGTTATTTTCTATCTAAGTATGGTACATAAAGATTTTAATGAAGACATTTCTTTGGAGAGTTGGTATTTGTATTTGAATTAGACCCATATTTTTGTCGCTCGTCCTAATTTCTTGATATAGGTATACTTGTAAACTAAGCTTCGAACTGGCTTGTATGTTTTTTAACAACACATCAATGGTTTCTGTGTGCTTCTTAATATCAAAGAAAGTCATGCTAACATCTTGAAGAGCATTGATAACAAATTCTATTAAACAATTTGTTTAATTTACTTTTATCCAGAAATAATGTAATGACGTTAGAAATTAGAACTCTAGAGGTGTACTTTAAGTTTATGTGTATTGTATAAAATTGTGATTAGAAGAAATATTTTTACATTACTAAACAAAAATTGGTCAATAGGAAAGGAGGCGAAGCACATAAACTGTTGGAAAAAAGGATGGTTTATCAAGCTCGACCATAGAAAACATTAAAAACTTATTCTCTAATTATTGTTCGCATATCTAAATGTCATTTAAAGTTCCTGCAACGAACATTAAAGAGAATTATTTGCTAAGAACGCTTTAGGGTTGTCTACAAGCAGCTAAGAAACGAATTAATTAGTACTGGAACACACAGAAAAGAAACTTTAATGTTACAAGATCGTTATCAAGAAAACGTAAACTTGTAACAAAAATGACACGAAAGTTCTGACAAAATGTATTCAATGATAATTGATGTTCCATGTAGTTGCGGTGAATGTATGTACACGCATGGCAACCAAAGTATGCTACCATGGCTTCATCAACGCAATACATCTCCTTGCGTATGTTATTTTCTAAAAAAAAATGTATTGCAATGCTGGAATAAAGACCACACCTACGTCTCTTGCTAAGTGTTCAGGTATAATTAACTGTAGACCAGAGTGAATACCTTCCCTTTCGAGTTGCCTCCATAGTATTTACGAATTGGCTGTAGAAGCAATGTCTTGGAAATAGGTTTTTTTCTCATTCCGGATAACTCCTGTAGTAAAATTGCGAAGCTCCTTGTAATACCGCCAGTCCGAATCTAGTTTCGTTCTCTTGTATTTCAGCTTAAAATTACCTATTAGCCTCATTAGATATTTGGTATTACTAGTAATCTCAAGGTTTAAATAGTTTTGATACCCTTTTTAAGACTTCTTAAAGGTGCATGTTTTTGACTTAACTGCTGAATCATGTTATAAAAATAGACCAATTTATCATTTATGTCTAACTTGTTCGTAGTGTCAACCCTATTTTCTTCAACTAATACCTTTCAAAAATCATTTAAATCATTCATTTTATAGCTATAAATGTTTTCTAACGACGACAACAACTAAATCTCTACACAATTCCAAACGACAAATAAACAACATAAAAAAGGAGTTAAATCAAAAAACATTTTTCTGCAGTATATATTTTAAACAATCAATTAAAGATTTTATTTTAAAATATTAACAAAACCATCAAATTGTCAAATCAACAACAAATAAATTTGCATAATCTAAATGCAATACATTTATTGTGGGTCAGGCCTACATCTACTGTCTGTTACGATACGTTGTAATCCATTATCTTGGGCGCATTTATTATATCTTGACCTAACATCATTGCTTATTACTTTGTTACAATTTTGGCCATTCAAATGAATCATTAACATATCTCTACAATCGTAAACGTCATTACAATCACATTCCTACAAATTTAAAACAATCAACATTTCCAAACTTACATCTAATATATTATTTATTTTGCTTACCGGTTTTTCATATCTATCGGTGTATAATTTGATGGTATTCAAAATACAATTTTCGTCTCTCATACAAGCATTGTATGACGCTGTATTTGCTGGATCGTTTACGTTTAAAGTCGGAGAACCCGCTTCATGCCAATAATTCATACTTATTGAGTAACTGGCGCATGTCATCCGATTAAAACAACCAGTTCTCGCATGACAAACACATTCTATACATTTACGCACGGGCGAATCTAATAGATTTTCTAATTGTGTGGAAACTTAAAGGTAAATATAATAATAACATATTAAATAAAAACAATAATTCCATATTATTTATACTTACAATGGATTGTCACGAAAATGATTGTCAATTGTAAAACAATATAAATCTTCATGTTGATTCTCTTACATACGAATTTGAATTTGAGTTAAAGATATTGGTTGTTCTCTTATATACTTATTGATTATTTATTAATAAGTTATAGATAAAAAGGTCATAATGTTAGGTGGTAATCACCTAATAAGAAAAACATTAAGCAAAGATTTAACTACACTCTTGGATATTTTTCTTTGAACTTTTATATAATAACTCTTCTGAATCTATTTTTAAATAGAATGACCTTATTAACATATCCCCTCTTAATTTATGTTGCTATCAATTTTACTATGTTCACACCGTCCAAAACACATCGACTAAAGTGTCCTGTAATAATATAAATTAACTCGGCTCGACATTTCCTGGAATGCGTAATATTCTTGTTTGTTGTTAAAAGACCAAAGAAAACGAAAATAGACCTTTAAGAAGCAAATATTCAACCTCAATCGTATTTAGACCACAATCGTATTTAGATCATTATTCTGGTAAAATATCTATGTTAATTTGTTACTCCAATGAAGCACATCGATAGAACATATTTCTTATAAGGAGAATGTTGATTGCTTTTAATTCTAAATACGGCGTTCGCGGAAATAAGACATATAGAAATTCTTATCGTCGTTATGGTATGCAGCTATAATCTCTATAATTTGCTTAAATTAACACTTTACGTTCAATTAAGTATTACATATTTAATTCTAATCGTTATAAGCAAAATACTTTATGATAAAATATTTTTTTAATCACAAGCTTTTTATCAAAAGCTTATATATTTTCTCTATAAATTTATAATATCATCAACATAAGACAGTAAATCGCTGATATCATTGTATTGATGAGATACATGAAATGATTATAAATTTTGATGATACATGAAGAAATAAAATTTATAATCGCTTGCTGAAAGTGTTGAAATGATTTGTTACTTTTTTTACTGTTAGTTTGCTAAAGATTTTAATTTGATCGGTTCTTTTAAAGAGCTTTTGAACTTTCATAACAACTTCTTAAACGTGTCTCATATTATTCTCCTACTGTTTAAATTATTAGAGTATAGGGCATTAGTAGACACGAAAAACATTGTAGCGGTCGGTTGATGTTTTTGAAAGGATTGATTTGTTTATTTAGTTCTGGCACTTAAAGTTTAGTTTTATGGAATGTTTTTCTTAACCCGATTAAATCGTTGAAGAAAATTGAGGTTATCAAAAGTTGTGTTGTTCAAGATTTACTGATATTCACATAGATATTTTAAAATTAGATTTTTGTTTATAATGGAATATAGATTATACAACCCAAAATATCCGTTTAGAGATTGGTGGATTTCTGTATCTTTAATTAAAAGTGTTATCGTAGATGGGGAATTTCAAAATAGAAAACGTTCAGTAATTTTTTTCATCATTGTTTGTGGTTTAAAAATAATAAGTATTTTGACATTTTTATAGTGACTAAACAATTAACATGGCTCAAATATGAATTATTACTTTTAGTAAGCTATACCTTTTATTGAAACATGATGAAGTTTTCATACAAACTAGATGAACTCCACAGTGAACAAGTCTATTCAGATCCAACAGTACAAAACACCATCAATGTTTTCTCACACAAACTACCAATTTAGAGGAGCCATGATTATAACATAGCCAGAGTTAAAAGTAATGTCTAAATTGTGCACTTTTAAACAGTTTCCAGTATGTACACTTTCGGATTTTTCACAAACGTAATTATGTTTGTCACATTTGCGGTTTACATTTTGCGAATTTCAATCAGATGTCGAATGGATATGCGATACGAGCCAAAAGTGCCAAATTGTTTCAAAATATTCCAGTAACACTTCGTAGATAACACAATGCGTCACCGCAGCAAGAGCAGCATACATTTTTATTCTTCTCACTTAAAAAAACTTAACATATATAGGTGTTTATATTGGTGTTATACGTAAGCATGGACAGTATCGGGCATCCAAATTGCTGAAGATTTAAATTTTCAATCTATAATTGGAAAACGTACGATATTGCTCGATTAAGCCGAGACCGTTTCGCAATCGACCTTGACTTATCATAGAATGCAGAAGATACGAATTTACCCTGGCTTATCCTTTAATGCAAATTGCATGATTATGGTATGTTAAGAAGAGGCCACTAGTGGACGAAGTATTATAAGTGATGTTGTGATGTACAAACATTGTACATTAATACAATGTTTGTGAGCACATAATGTAACATCACGGCTGCAATTGTAGCATTGCTGCATGTGTTGTGTATCACTTGTAACGTCTCGGGCACGTGCCACCTCGGTTTAATATAGAAGAAAAATCGTGCAATTTCGCTTAATTAAGCTAAGGCCGTATATCGCTGAGGCGCTATAAATGTTACAGTGATAGAATAGTGGATCAGATATGTATACCGCGATGCCTCAGCCACAACCGACCTCGACTTATCTTAGACTGCACAATATACGTATACGCCCGATTAAGTCAACGCCGTTCGCTACCGAGGCGCTACATTATACAGTGTCGGCAAAAAAAGTCAGCAACATCCTATTCTTTTTTGAATCCATCCCACCTACGCTTTTGAAATTATGTTTACATCGGATGCTTGTATATCCCGATCTTTTCGATATCGATCTAAAATATTTTCAAGGTGTTCCAACTTCCGGTTCACCGGAATCATTATTTTAAATGAAATGCTATGGTTATTGTTACGTGTTCAATTTTTTAAACAAAAATAGGTTGACTTTGAAATGTTGAAAATATGTACAATTACGCTTCAAATGTTCATAAATGGAACATAATTAGTTGTATCGGTATATTGTTTAGCACAAAATTGTTAAACAAAATACCATAAAAAAGCAATTCATGAAAGACCTAACCTTACGATTTTTGGCTACTGGTGCTTCTTAATCCAGTCTTAAATATTTTTCAAATCAATATAAGTAAATAAATAAAATAAATGAATCTTCAATGAAATGATCAGATGGTAGAAAATGATGACTCTTATTATCTGTAGTTATAATAGTTATAATCCATTGCAAAATTTAATTTATCTTATTTTAAACCACTACTTCTTCTTAAGAAACAATCTACTGGTTTATCCTTGTAATTAGTTATATTTCGTTTCTAAATGTCTCAAAAGTTTCCTAGCTTTTAATGACGAATTTGCCAATTTGTGCTCAATCAGTTTTACTTTCTTTTCCATAATTTAGAAATTTGTCTTGATAAGTATAAATATTTTTTTTTCATCCTTGCACGATTTGGTATATGCTCACTGTATTCTTTTAACTAAGGTTGAGAGTGTACCTTGCTTACTGATTTTCAAAAATTTATAATCAAATGGGGGATTCACTGAAAATAGTGTTATATGGATGCAAAAATCTTACCAGAAAAATATTTCTTACCGGTTCCAAGAATATTACCGATTTACTTTATAAAACAATGGTAACGAGTCGCAAAATAAATGCACGAATTACGAACTAAGAAAACTAACCTAAAAGAAAATTAATTCCAACCGGGATTCCGTAGAACACACGTTTGGTCTACGAGATCATAGAGATCATAGAGTTTTAATTATTTTTTGAAGACTTTATATCTTAGTTGTTGGTAGCGTTCTTTCAACTACATTCTTTTATGTTTATCGCGCCAACAATGAAATGTTGATATACAGTACTTTCCATAAAAAAGCTCAAACTAAACCTGAACATACTGTTACATATACACAGGAAAAAATCGTGTCGTGTAAAAATTTTAGAGTAGTTGGTAAAAAGAATTAGAGTAAAAGTTGTAATACCACATGGTAAAAACAACTCTAATGTACACTATATTTAATATTAATATAGAGTTCATATATTATTCACTTAATAGAGTAGCTTTTACAGTTCTCTAAAGGAGAGTTCTTTTTTACTCATGTTAGTGAAGTTATGTAATATATAAAACATTAAATTTTACACAAGACGTGTAAAACTATTTTGCTCGGGATTACTCGTTGGTACCACGTGATCAACATGTCGTGTGATACAGCTAAAATTTAACGGTCATCTACTGAACAAGTCGGAACTCGACAGCGTCTCGAGACATGATTTACGCGATATAAAGAGAAAGAACGATTATTTTTATTTTAATTATGTTTGCCAAACATCCGTGTTATGAAATTAGTGAAACTTCCGGAAGATTTTACGTACGAGTTCCTTGCGAAGATTGGTAAGTATGTACAATTGTACATACAGAAAACTTATAGAAGACTCATTAGATGCAGTTTTAATGGTGACTCGGTGGAAACTTTAAAATGGATTAAGTATGGTTATATAAAAAGAATTAATTTTTTAAAAATTTAAGATATAACAATATATTACAAGTAAAAATAAAAACAAATATTTTATAATGTTGATTTTTATTACAAACCTAAAACTTTCCTAAAAATATTCTATACTTCCTATTAAAAATTAACACTAATAAGTGAAAGATACACACTATTTAGTGATATTTTGTCACTTAATAGAGTAAAATTAGAACGAATCTTTAATAATTTACAGTGCTAATTTTACACTGATTAGGTTAGAAATGTATCTAATTAGAGTCACGACAACATCTAATTAGATTACATATAATACACTGTTATAGAGTAACGATTTTACACTATTTAATAAACACCATCTTCTCACTATTTAGTGTAAAATTTTAATCTATTCACCTACACTATATAGTGCAAAAAAATAACTCTAAATATATTGGACCGATCTGAACCATGTTTTAGAGTTGATTTTTACTCTATATTTTTTCCTGTGTACACATTACCCACATATATAGATAACTGACTGTCATGAAATGTATACTAGAAAACCATTCCATTTAAACTATTTGGTAACATCTCTACAATTTAAAGGCCATAACAGATCTCAAGTAACCATGCTGAAAGAATGGATTATTTTTCTTTTATCCAGTTTATAGCATCATATTTGTGACTAAAGAAGGAAGTACCCCATGTTTTATGTGATCAGGAATTTAGAAAGAAAGTATGTATATCTACAGTATTTATATCTTCTCGGTTTTGATGCACATATTATAATGAGATTAAACTTAAATATGAGGACTCTTACAATACCGGCAACACATATTTGTACAATCCGAAAAACCACATTTTAATATTCATAGCTGCACGGTTAACGCGTAGAGCGTATTTCTAATTTTATATTAAAGAGATTTAATTAGTTGTTCTGACAATTAAATATGCGAATCT